TAGAATACTCCACAATATTCTTATTTCTTGGTCCCATTAGTCTACGTCTTCTAAATTTTAGACTCATTAGTATTACCGATTTCACAAACAAGACTTTGGCCTGTGTGCGTGATTAGAAAAGATGTTAAGGAAATGTATTCGCCCTACTTTGTTTAGTGATAGAAGACTGGTGGCCGAATTTCCTCAGAATGACACGAATGGGCCTCATGCTCCATTACAACCATAAACTTAATCGAAATAGGGTAAATATAGTTCTTATATCAAGTCAATTATTATTCCCGAAAGCTTACTTACAGTCGTAACAGAAGCTAATCGAGGCAGCATGTTTGGGTTTCCTAAACACATTTCTACCCAGATTCGTATCATCTTTACTCAAAATAAGGAATGCTAACTGACCAACCTTTTCTAACCCGTATTAAATTTTATTACTTAATCTAAAACATTCATTAACTCCATATTTTCTTCAATCAGTGGTTATTATGCTTTCAAGTAATTATATAGTCGCCCATACAACTAACTAATAAGTCAGGAGTTATGAGCGCCTCTAAAACTAACCAAATTTCTAATTGAGCCATGCATTAATTAGTTAAAATTGGAGCTACTCAAAATTTCATAGCTCGCTCAATTCAGCATTGGGGGAGAAATAAGTGCCGAAGACTAGCTCAAACCAGCTATGTACAGGGAAAGGAGAATGTGACCAGAATGGAGGCCACCTCGTCATTGTATTCGTAATTGCGATTAAAGCCATGATTGAATTTTGCCTGACTTCTACCTATTATGCATGGATGCTGACTCAACTCCAACGTCAGTGTTGACCCGTTTGCCAGAATATTAAAATAGATAGAAAACAAACTGAAGCTTTCAAGTAAATCACCCGCTCTCATCGGCTATTCATGTACTAAATTAGCAGTCATAATCATTTCTTATTGAAAACCTTCAGGTTTTAAAGATTTGCTTTAGCAGCCAACAAATGGATCTAAGCTTTTTATACAGCATGCAGCCATTATTATTTACAATAATACTAAATGGGACACCTTCATTGTGAATTCTGTGTATTTCATATGCATTTTGCAAAAGAATTGTATTCATTTTTCACTTTTACAGTTCTCCACTAAGCACATATTTTGCAAACAATCCATAAGTCCATCCTTCGAATTTCTTGCCGAGTCTTCATTCATGATCTCGTACATTTGAAGATCATATAGTGCCCTAGAAGCAAAAACTACCGCCTCAACATTATTTGATAATTTTGTTTGTTCCTTTATGATAGTATTAATATATTACTGCTATATGGCTTTAAATAAAAAGAGTAACTTTTAACTCAGTATCAATAATTATTTTTATACTTAGTTGGACAAAGTAATTGGTCCCCAGAATCATAAGCACGTAGAACTTTAAGAAGAAATGCGATATCAAACAGCATGAGCCCCAACATATGAGTTTTACAGCTGTCAAAGCAGTGTCAAAAGCATTGCTGAACAAAATTTGACTGTAATTACAAAGTTAATAAAGGCAAGGCATAAATAATTCACATAAAACGACCCAAGTCTATAACTCATTGACACAGTTTGTGAAGTGACATTTAGTCGAGAGCAATAAGGTGCTGACATGTACTTATCATAGACAAAGAGAAAGACCATTTCTAGGAAAATATTTCTATCACGTAATTAACGTCTTTATTTTAAATTTTAGATCAAAACTTTTATCCAGGACCTATCACAAGTGACATCTAAAATTTTATCAGAATCACGTGAAAAAGAGGAAAATGATTAAGATGTGCCAGATCAACATGGGAGTGCCTTGGTCAAACGCATTCACCTGCCTGTGCTTAAATATAGAAGTAAATCATGGAGATGCTTTTTGATAGAGAATCATTTGCAAATCCTACAGTCTTTTTATTCACGGGTATTAAGTACCAACTTGTCATAATAACATGAGAATAATGGAACGTAAATTGGCACAATAAGAAATGATATCTTAATCCTTGTAAATGTAAAAGTATCTGACTTCAACAAGCAAGCACTCGGGTTTTTCAGTTTAGTAGACATGTAAAAAAGTTGATTATGTGACGAAATGTGAAAGGATGGCACAAGTAAGAGTAGAATATATAGCACGAATACCAAAACAATGAGAACGACAAAAATAAAAATAAAATTTTAAAATAAATGCAAAAGATAAATACACTGTGCAAACAAGAGAAGAAGAATGTTGCAAGTTCAACTTATGAGATGTGGCTATAATAGGGACCCACTGAAGTATAGCCCTTAGATGACCCACAAAGGTAGTATAAAAGTATGTATAGCGGGCTCAAAAAGATGAGGGCGAGTCATCCGGCATTTCGATGTCTTCTGGAAAATCAGAAGGCCATTTTAGTGCTTTGCGAACACCTCTGTGGTTAACTACCTTTTCTGGAGGAACAGGGGCCTCCGCTATAAGACGAACTAAACCACCAACCAGACGAGCAGCCAATTGACGTTCCAACCGACTGGGTGACAGACAGGAAGAACAGACATCCGGACCCATTATCGGTGTATAAGCAGGAGAAGACGGCGTGTCAACGACCGAGAGTAAGTGCCCGGCACCACTTAGTCGGGCAGAGTTGGCCAGGGCCAGCAAA